ACCACCATTGCCAGGATTAACACAGGCCATCAGGCCTCCTGTCCTTCCCAAACTGAAAGTGAAACAGATTCAACGGCCGTTTGAATCAGTACCAAACATGTTGGGAGGAGTCGCGCGCCGGAGAGTGTCAAACGAATATTATTAATCCTCCAGTTATGGCTTATCTGTAAAACAAATGTAAGGGAGGCGACAGAAACTGACCGGGAAAACAGCGAGTAATAATATGTTGGTACGACGTTGGTTAAACGTAAAGCGATTAACCATTGAAATAATGAAAAGAACAAAACGTTTGTTTGTTCTATCAAGTCGCTCTGAAATATATGGCTTTGACAAGTAATTCAGTTCCTCTGATGAGAAACGTTAAGTTTGCCGCAAGAGTAATGATGCTATAGCGATAGTAGGATAAGTGTACTATCAATCGATGCCGAAGTCGATACTGCCATTGATTTAAATTTGAATGCCAGACATTGTCGTTGACAGCTTCTAGTTATATCTATATCTAACAGACTAACCGTAAGTACAGAAATATAACCGTGAAGAATGGTCGTGATTTCGTTGTGTGAAGCTATTAATCAACTTGTAGTCAGAGTTAGAAAAGTCGATGACTGCTGTTACAGTCAGTAAGGGTCGAAAGCTGCAAATTGACAGCAAAGGTGGCACGGTGAAGTCTCTAAAAGATGATAAACGGTGAGTGCTGTGTGTTTGTTTGGTGAGTGAACAGAAAAATATCTAAAAGAACATAAGAAACCAAGAGTGTCGCGCTGGATTCATGTCAATGATACCAGTGAAAAACGCTGTCAGTGTTGGGATATAAACGATAATGTAGTTTCCAGTTTGCAGGAGATTCGCTCGACTACATAAACTGATGATTCGCGCGAATGATAATGTCGTCGGACCACCAATTGAACTGGACAGGTTTTAAATCGTTGAGTAGTTGAACAGCCGATTTATGTACCGAAATCATCTGTTGAATAACAGCCACGAGGAAACAATACTTCGTAAAATAAAGTACGACGTCGAAGTAGAATAACTACAATAGTTCGGATGTGTTATAAAGTCAAATCTAAATAATATCGTTCTTACGTATGCTGACAGTTGCACTGAACGTTCGTTTAGGTATTATTAGCGTAACAGTTTAACGTGTGAATAAAAACATATACGAAAACTATGGTTGGGTTCGTGGAGAATTTTTAAGGACGATTAGATATTTTCCAAACCCGTATTGTATACAAATAAACCGAAAATGGAATGAAAATGGCTGTCGTGTAATAAGGAAATCGAGCCATGATTTACTGTGTGAAATAATAGCAAATACAAGGAGTATAATAAACATTAATTAAAATGGTAACCACCAATGTAACTAAAGTTTAGAGGGTTCAGGTAACATGCCCATTTCGTAAAAGGCTGATACAAAGAGCTCATTACCCAGCGTTAAGTGACATATTAAGTACGACAACGTGTGTACTTGGGACATGGACTAAGCGTGCTCGTGTACATGCAATATGTTTTACCACAGTATGTCGACTAACGCAGTAAACCTATAAGCTACCGACCAGTGGCTCTCTCTACCTCCAAAAATTATGGAGTCCCTGATATGCGAAGGTATGTACGATTATTTATTATCCATAAACTTCTGTTCACTCCAACAGCATGGTTTCAGGGAGGGGCATTCTAGTATAACCAACCTGTTGACTGCGGTGGACAGATTGGCAACCACGCTTGATCGCAAGGGAAGGTTGATATAATTTAACTTGACTTCTCAAAAGCTTTTCATAGGGTCAACATGTGCTCACCAGTGACTAGCTTCGTGAGGGAATTCTCGGAGTTCTAATGAGAAGCCGTGACCAGTGGAGCTAATCCTTGTCGTGTAGAGACAGTTATCTACCTCAGTACAATGGAAGTTGATCGCGCAATTTCGTGGATTGGTTGATGTTAGAAACTATCACCATTGGATGCCGGCTCAGTGGTCCAGTTGGTTAAGCGTTCGCGGGCGAGACCGAAGGCCCTGGGTTCGAATCCCGCTCGCGGGATCGTGGGTGCGCACTGCTGAGGAGTCCCACAATAGAACGAAACGGCCGTCCAGTGCTTCCAGGTTTTCAATTGTGATGATCTAACATCAATCGGTTCAAGATTTCAATCAAAAACTTAATAATCTCCACAACTCCTATACTAGTAATCAACCATATATGTCTTATGAATGAGTTCAAACGATTAGATATCAAATCACCTCTAATTGATTGGCTCACTTCATATCTAAGAAATCACTTTCTCTCAGGCTGTGGAATATCTTAGTTGATCTCAGATTCTAGTCTCGTGAAGAGAGCATACCGTCACTCAACCTTTACTCATTAGAGCATAAGCGTCCTAGAGGCGACCTATTAACTAACAGCATCCTTTGCACTTCTGAACATCCCGTTGAAAATCTACTTAAGCTTAGTCCTAACACATACCTTAGGGGTAACACCTAGAAACTGGAGACATAACACAGTAGAACGAACTGTAGGCACACTTCTTACTCCCTAAGAATGGTTAAATACTGGAATTTGCCGCCAGCTGAGCCAGTCCATGCGACTTATCAGGAATTCTATAAGAGGAAACGTGACCTATTCTTAAGGACCACGAACAGTATGTCACTATGATTTACTAACATTTTTTCTTTTCCCTCTTTTATTGATAATATACCTAGGTTCCTGCCTGGAGGTATCGGTGATTCACTGCTACCAGATATACTTAAGATATTCCTCTCTAGAAGTATTCCAAGTTGAAGAAGATTTAGGAGTCATGGTACCCTACATTTTGAAGTCTTACGCTAAATGTGACAAAAATGCCTTTCGAGCAAACCTTGCACTGGTAACATTGAAGCACTTTTTGGCCAGTTCTACGGAAGAACTTTCCACATAATTTTCAACAATTTTATTCGCCCCATTTAGAGTACGAAACATAGTATTACCTCTCCCACTCAAAAAGGATAAGGACACTCTGGAGCGTACCCAACGGCGAGCCACGAAATCAGTTAGGAGACGCAAATTCAGGCCTTATGAAGAGCGTTTCAAATCACTAAACCTTTTCCTATTAAAGTATAGGTGTCTTAGAGGCGACCTAATAAATTTCAGCATCCTTAACACTTCTGGACTAAGGATAACATTTTATTAGGATTTACCAATTTCTTTTTTCCCTCTATTACCGTTAATATACCTAGGTTCCTGCATGTAGGTGTCGGTAATCCAGTGCTACTGGACACGGAAGCCCGTGAGCGAAAGCTTCTTCTATTCTGTCCGCAACCATTTGAACCATTTAGAACCATTTGAATAATTTGAAGTGCCGTCTGATCGTACATCTATGGTGTGTTTGAAGACAAAAAAGATACTTAAAGCTGTTATAGTGTAAACTCATAAGTTCAGTTTACCCTCTATCAGTAGAAATAAACATGATCAAAATGAACGTTATGTCTATTCTTTACCTTGTTCAATTGACAATGAGCTAAAGATAAGCGCACTGTTCCTTAGGTGTGTTACTTAATCTCTTTCAGACATGTGCACAGCGTGTAGTTTCGTTCTAGAGAATTCTTACTGCAAATTTCATAGCCTCAAAGTTTCTAAGACTGACCTATGTTTCAACTAATTTATTACGATTCATAACTATCTCACTTTTATCCTTTGTTGTCGTTGGATGCTCCTAGTACCACATCATAACTTACCAAGTTATCCGATCTCGTATACTACTCAACATAACATCATTATTAAAGTTGGTATTGGCTCCATTCGAGAGCATTATTCTCGTTTCACATATGACAGTAATCTTCACCCGGGATCTGAATAATTCTGTAGTGAATTTTGTTTTGTCATTAGTGAATTTGTCATTACATCTAAATCTCGACATTTGTACATCACAAGTCCGTGATGTATAAGAGTTGATCAATCTCAATCGGTTTATAATAGTAACATGGTTTGTATCAGACCAAACACAGTTCTCATACATGGATTCATGCGATAGAATTTCTGCTCCATAACGATGAATCAGTCCCATTAACAGTTCACTGTGTTTTTAGCATGCAATTGAGTTATATCGCTCAATAATATCTCTTAAGCTGTTGTTTCGCGGCCTAAGGTTTAGAACTCGCATTCTCAAACTCAGTTGTGTTGGGAAGGTAGTATATTTTTGCTCATACATATGTACTATAAACATTATAGTGTATCATTTAGCTGTCTATTTGTTTCTATCCGGTCTTCGTTTGAAGCCCTGAGATCGAATGAAGTTATGTATATTGCTGACAGATGTAATAGGTTCGATCGAAATTAAAATCTGAGAAGGATGTGATTGAACATGTAAACATCTTTAAAGAGATTTTTTAAATATTTACTTACGAAAGTAAACGATATGACTGAGTAATGGTCAGACGCAAGCTGTGGTCAATTCGGCAATCAAAACAGAAAAATACCCTCACATAGCTTACAGTGACACTAAATCTTTTAAAACACTGTTCTAAGTACCCGATAATGTTTCCATACGATTGGAAGCTAAAAGTTTTCTGCAATTCTTAATATTTGTAAAATAATGGGCATTATTCCGTCATATATAATAAAGTAGCTCATATCGTTAATTTCATCTTAGTGTCCTCTCTTAATAAAAGTCCGAATATAATTAGATGTTAGATTAAATGACATGCAGCAAATATTAGTATTAGTCTGGGATCATGTATATCAAATTTGATCTGCTTTGAACCTCGTGGCTTCTCTATCATATGTAGAATTTAATATGTTATCATGTTTTATTTATTGGCAGTAAAATTTGAGTCATTTGAAATCCTCTTGCCATCTTGAGGAGTGTCTGTTACCGTGTTTTAAGGCTCTAAAGGTAGATCGAACATTTTCTCCTATCTTTGAACTGACTCTCAGTTTAGAAGAAAAGTTCTATTAAAACACTAAATATCTATCTAAATTGTTTCATATGCTGTTCTGGTATCTTCTGCTTTTTTACTTTTCTTTAGTTGATTTTCAAATATGGAATCTGTCGATATTCATTGTCCCGCCTTATGCACAGCTAAAAATCGGCACCTGTCACTTCCTACGTCTACAGATGTCTCAACTCCATTTCGTTTTGTAATTATTGCTGACCCACAGCTTGGTTTACTTGAACAGTATGTGGAGAAACGTCCTCGACCCCACCACTGGGATAGGGAAGTGAAGCTTGTAAGTAGGGCAGTAAGTATCATAAATCGTCTTTGTCCGAAGCCAGCTTTTGTTATCATTTGTGGTGATCTTGTTAACGATCATCCAGGTGGTTCTGATAGATGTAAACAGACATCTGATTTGCTGGAAATACTGTCTCATCTCAACAGTGATATCCCTCTTATTGTGCTTCCAGGAAATCATGATGTTGGGAACCGCCCTGATGTAAATGACGTGCAGGACTATATAAGCATGTGGGGAGATGATTACTTTACTTTCATATTTAACCGAACAAGGTTTATTGTACTTAATACTCAATACCTAGTGAATGACTCGAAGTGCCAATCTTCGTCCAGTGAATTTCGTCAGTGGTTCAATGAACAACTCTCTATAAAAAATGAAAATTTTGATATGTCGGTTGTATTCCAGGTAAATATACATATTACTTCAAAATAAGTGATAATCGATAATGCTTTGCCCACACTTTTTGGTCCTATATTTCCATATTTTTCAAAACATCACGCTTTACATATCTCCGTCATTTTCCATGGTCTGACCACAATCTGTATTATGAAGTTCTTCCTGGCGTCATAGGTTATTTAAGTCAAATAGTGGTCTTTGACTCTATCCTAAAATAGTGGCAAGATATAGTACTCATTTGTGACCACAAATTGCTATAAAAGTCTACGTTGACTAAGGTAAGAACACTGGAGAAACTTTAGCACGTGTAAATTAACACGTAGCACCTATTCGTGGTGCTGTTTATTTCTCAATTCAGCTTTTTTTATTGCTATTTTTCACAGTTGATTGGAAATACTAGCTATCTATAACAAAAAACTCCGGTCACAATTGGCAGTAGGAAGAAAACGATAGAAATCATACAGACTAACAAAGGCAAAAGTTCTGAAGAGTATAAACTGATATAAAAAATGCGACGAAGATAAATTCCGTACATCGCAAAACGTACACTTCAGTGTTCGTGAAAAATAGCCGAAAACTACCGAAATATTGTCAGTAAATAATTCTGGAGCCATTCATGGTAAAATCTTGGCTATTGAGTTACAGTCTCCATGACCTCATCTAAGAGTAGTAGATTATCACACTGACTAATTGCATGTTCTCGTACTTGCCTTCGTCCTGACGGTTGCTGCTGTGTTGACGTGGTGGCTGGGCTTGCCTGTCGTGATAAACCAATCGAGCTATACTGTCTGGAACCATCATTCCTCAAGGTCCTACCATGCCAGACAGGTCGGTTGAAGAGCGGTAAGACTAAGAGCAGTAAACTCAGAGTCTGAGGGCGAAGCCGTACTGAAGACTAAACAGAGGTGTGACGGCAGTAAGATGTTTCCTTCAGACAACTGGCATAACAGTGATGCCGCCTTCCCGCGAGGTCAGTCAGTCAGTAACAACGTAGAACTTCGTACGTACGTACATCAGTTCGAGTTGCCACACCACATTAGCACAGAGATGCAGTGGTCGATTCGAATCCCGTAGTGGAAGAGGTAATAAGAGTATAAGCAGTAATCGGGAAGATTAGTGTTTGGAGATGTTATTTAAAGAGTATAATACAGTGAAATGAATTTGGGAAGAGAAAAAAATGAGACAAGGAGGAATAAGGAGATCAAAATTTAGGAGAACAAAAAGAGTGTATGCACCTGCGCCATTGCAAACGATTTTGAGCCATGTCATTCACGGTCTCTAACCATCGGTTGCTATCATCTCGCGGTCCCCAACCAGGTAGTCTACACCTACCAACATGACTCAGTCCACTTGTCAGTGACTTCATGGACCTCTGGTATGTTTTGGTCTGGCCGCCCATAGCTTTCTTCAAACCTATTCCTATACCACTGAACATTGCACGTCGAGGCAGTCGGCCGTTGGGGATACGTAACACATGTTCGACCCATCTCAACTGATGAAGTTTCACTACTTCACCAATTGATTTGCCATCCTTACCTAGTACCCGTTTCCTAACAATTGTATTACTTACTCGATGGTCCCACGATATACGAGCAAGATTTCGAAGACACCCATGATCAAATACTAGTAACCTACGGATATCCTCTACTCTTACCGGCCATGTTTCACTGCCATAAAGTAGGACGGAACGAACTGCTGCACAGTAAACACGTCTTTTGATTGATAGACGGATATCTCGCCTACGCCATAAATGACGCAAGTTGGCAAAAGCTAGTCGAGCCTTCTGTATCCGTGCTGAGATTTCGTCACACACCAGACCACAAGAGCTGATGAGACTTCCAAGATAAGTGAAGCGATCGACACGCTCAATTACTTCACTCCCTATCACTAGTTCAGGTGTGAATGCAACCCAATCCTGAAGTAACATTTTGCATTTCGAGGGAGAGAATCGCATCCCGAACATGTTAGTATTGTTGCTTAGAGTGGTCAGAAGACTGCATTTTGTCAGCGTCTTCACCAAATAAAACTATGCCATCAGCATATTCTAAGTCAACAAGTGAACCTCCCGGTAGAAGTTCAACCCTTGGGAATCTAGACGAGGAAAGTGTTATCTCTAAAAGTACGTCAACGACAAGGTTGAACAAAAATGGAGAGAGTGGACAGCCCTGACGAACACCACTTGAGGTAATCAATTCTGATGACAGTTCGCCATAAGCTCTCACTCTACCATTTGTGTTCGAGCGGAGAGCCTTTACAAGGTTAATGTACTCCTTTCAGTGACAGACACTGCCATAGAACCTTACGATCGACAGAGTCAAATGGCGCCTTAAGGTCGAGAAATATTACGATTGTGGGGCGTCTAAACGTGTGTCTATGTTCTAGAACCTGACGTAGTGTGAATATCTGATCTATACAACCACGTCCAGGTCGAAAACCAGCCTGATTTTATCTAGTCTGCTCTTCACGAGCTTTGGTTTGGCGTCGAAGTATTATTGAAGCTAATATTTTAGACACTATATTAGTCAAAGTGATTCCTCTGTGATTGTCACAAGAGGAGTTTTGTCCTTTCATAAAAACTGGCACAATCAGTGATTGAGATCAGTCAGATAAGATTACGTCCAGTTCCCAAATTCTACCTAAGACCTCAGTTAATCTCACTGCTAATACTGAACCACCGTCCTTAAAAATCTCAGGAGTAAACCTGTCAGGGCCTGCCGCTCTCCCTCGCTTCAGATTTCCTATGGCTTTTTCAACTTCGTAAAGAGACGGAGGACCTACATTAACTTGCCATTCAGGTTGACTGGAGATCGTGGGAAACCGAAGTGTGGCTGAAGGTCAGTTGAACTGATCCCTAAAGTGTTCTGCCCATCGATCCAATCTCCTGGATTGAGAATGTGTAATATGTCCATCTTTCTCTGAGAGTGTTTCGCTAACAGTCGGTTTCCTAATACCGGTTTCCTTAACAAGTCTGAACAATTGTCTGCTATTACCTATTGCCGCTGCCTTTTCCATCTCTCTTGCTTTCGATACCCACCACTGTTCACCATCATTGCGTAGACTTCTTGTGAGCTTGCGCTTAAGCTGACTCCGCTTTCCATTATGTTCAGAGCCAGGTGGAATGAGTTTCCGAGCATCTATCAGTGCGATAGATGCTGCTGAGATCCAGTGTTGCTCCCTAACTTTACGGGTTACCGTACTAGCAGATAACACTGCTGTTTCCACAGCTTTTCGGATATCATTCCATGCTGCCTCGGGGTGGGCATCACATACATGGCTGCCTAACTGTTTTCCTAGTTGTTCCTGAAATATACTCTTAACTTGACTATCATTAAGTAGGACCCTAAAGGTCCAGTAAGACGCAGACAGATACGCGCTCATACTATAGAGCATGGATTGAATCTAAGCATGTGCTCCAGAATAAGCGACAGTCTTCTATCGAGCCCCTCCATCGGTGGCTGATAGCGATGTGATCTATTTGGGTCCAACGTTGGAACGAATTAGGGGGTCTCTATGTTAAAAGATGTTTTCCCTTATGCTTAAAGTTAGTATTTGCAAGAAAGAGGCGGTTATTTGAGCATAGCTGCAACAGACGGTCGCCATTATCTGTTCTTCGAGCCACGACACCATAAGATCCACCTAGGTGTCTTTCCCTATCGCTTAGTTTACCTACTTGAGCATTAAAGTCACCGGCCACTATTACTACATCCGAGCGCCTATCTTTTAGGAGGAAGTCGGAGAGCTTTCTGTAAAACTCATCTTTTACATCATCTGAGCTGCAGTCAGTGGGGGAATAGGCAGAGACGACGAAGAGGCAACGACGAGTGTCCCTATGTTTTCGGATCCTTACTGTTCCGTTCAGTCGGACAGCGCACAAACGACTGTCTACTGGGATCCACTCTAAGAGAGCTAGTTCCGCCCTAGGACTCAATACTATACCTACGCCGGCGAAGCCACGGGAAGCAGAATCAGGGCTTCCAGATACACGAAGTGTGAATCGAGTCGGCAGCAGTACGACTTCGCCCTCAGACCTTGAGCTGCTGCTTTTAGTCTTACCGTTCTCCAATTGAACTTCCTGGCATGGTAGAACCCACAGGAACATATGTTCCAGCCAATATAGCTCGGTTGGGTCATCACGATAGGCAAGCCCGACCGCCGCGTCAAGGTAGCAGCTTCGGTCGGGCTTTCTACGAAGAGGGGTGGAGTTAGAAAAGGTCGACCCTAAAAATAAACACCGCCTTATCCCACGGATATCCGTCTCCGGCGGTAAGGTCTCAACAAGTACGGAGCTAACACAAAAATTACTCATAAAAAGGTAGTGTGTGACCGATTTCAAGCAGTTGTCCCATGGGCATTGCGACCACGCTCTCAGGTCACTAGAACCATCTGTAACTCAATTTCTTTTTCAAGTACCTCCAGAAGAACGGTTCCACGGTGTGGGAAATCTGGAAGTGATAACCGCCCTCATCCCCTAATGGCACTCAAGATCAATGTATTCATAACCAATCTCCCTCTTTAATTCCTATTAGTCCTCCTACCTCGACTTCCAACTCTAAACTTGCTTTTTTGACTTCCTCCTCAAGTGTCACCCTGACCAACGGTTCTAGTGCGCAAAACACTGTCCAGGGTCTACTGAAACCTTGCTCCAAATTACACCTTGGAGTCTTCAACGTACTCACCCTATGTCAAATCAGCTAGCAGGCCTCCTTGGCTAAAGCCCTAGAATCTCGTGCCATCGATGTATGCCGTGTCTCTGAAACCCACATACGGGGATCCTAGTGTGGTCACTCACTTGGTGCCTGACGAAATCTCTGCGCGGGTTCAGGAGGCTCGTTTGGCTTCTGCCGACTCACGTCACAAGTGGAGATGGCGAGATATCCGCCTATCAATTAAGGGATGATTACACTGTGCGGCAGTCCATTCTGTCCTACTTTACGGCTACGAAACGTGGTCACTAAGGGCAGAAGATACTCGTAAGCTATTAGTATTTGACCACAAATGCCTTAGAAATATTGCTGGCATCTGCTGGAATCACGGGGTAAGTAATAGTGAGGTTAGACGCCGGGTATTATGGAATGATGATAAATCTTCATCGACTGAGATGGTTGGGCCACGTGTTACGTATGCCTAAACACCGTTTACCACATCGTGCAATGCTAACGGGTGTTAGAGATGGTTGGGAGAGAATTAGTGGCAGCCAAACCAAAACGTGGCATCAGTGCTTGAAGACACTAACCTCTAGTCTGAGCCATATTTGTAGATGCAGACTACTTGTTTGGGTTCGGTGTGACTATCGTAACCAATGGTTGGAGACTCTTGGTGACATGACTGAGAACCGATCACAATGGCGTTGGTGTATACACTCTCTGTCTTCCCCTAAACTGTGAGATTAAAATCGCTTCATATCTTTCTTCCTGTACTATATCCTTATATGCAATCTTTTATATATTACCACCACTTAATTAGTTACTTCTATGAATTCGTTGTTCATCTCGTGCTAATGAGGTGTGGCAACTTTTACCGATACACATATGTGCCTGGTCCTACGTTGTAGTTGACTGACTGAATTGCCTTCGAGCCCCATGTTCTGAAACAGTGGTAGATAAAGCAAAACTCAATTTCGCAGCCCCATCCGTTGTCACGATGTGTTTTAGCAGATAAATGTTTCAATACTCTCGATAAAACACCTAATAACAACGTGTGAACAGTTGCTTACGTCACTTAGAGTTGCTCTAATTTGTGTTGATATTTGTAGGCTTTCATTTTTAATTTAATTAGGACAAATTAATGATTGAAGAAAAAAGTTAAATCATTCAATAGGCACTTGGGTGTGAGCTACATTAAGTGTAAGGACTAATGATACTATCCGGCTGCCAAAATCGAAGTAAGCAAAGCAAGTTTCGAACCAGGGACTCAGTGGTTGAAAGTCAGTGATCTTAACCAACGTCAAAGTATGTAGTTGAAAACCAGTTTTAGAGACAGTTTCATTCATTTCTTAGTGAATACTAATCCCTTGATTTCTTTTTTACCTATATATTGTATTGCCCCAACGAGTATTAGTTTCTTTTTTGTTTCTTAATTGATATGTTAAATCTACGAATTTGATATTTTACTGATTTGTAATACTCACGATTTCTAAAATTAGCATTTTATCCCCATTTACCTAGCAAACCGAATCTTTGAACTAAATAAAATTAGTCTCTTGTTACTCCTATCATTTCGTTGGCTAAAGTTGTTTTATTTTTATCAGAACAGATAGACATAATCAAAATAGAGCCTGGGACAGAAGTGTGTGTTGGCTCAAGTTATCATACCTGATTAACGAGACGAGGCGAACATGTCTAACATTGTTAGTCGTAACCAGCCAGTTAACTATCTAACACTAAAAATCAAGTAACCACTGAGAAATTGGATTTCCACTAAACTGATTACTAGTAATCACTTTGAATCCAAGTAGTTATAATAGTACCATTGAACGATTTGTTGACTGTTCATATACACATAATGAATATTATTTATTATTCCCAAATTCATTATCCTCACTACCGTTGATATTGTTGTTATTGGTCTCATTCTTTTGGTTTCTATCTTGTTAATATTCCTTCCTACTGCAATATTATGGGTTTTAGCAAGTTCATACTGTCTATGGATGAATGAATCAGTGTTTTAAAAGCGTAAAACCTAGAAAATTCAAGTAAACTATTTTTGTGTAAATCTCCCTATTTATCTTTTATGTCTCAATAGTACAACTATTGTTTTCGAGGCATAGTGATTAGTGTCATGATTTACTGACCAAAACAATAGACTCCCAATCAGTAGGTCATGGGTTCGAACTCATCCTTACCTAACACAGTTTAACGCATTATGTATTTTCACTAGCTTTTACATAGAAAGTGTGGGATGCAGCTCATCATACAAACTTGTACTTAGTAAGTAATTTTTTTAAAGCGATTTATATTCACATACGTCATTCTAACCGTTGATGTCGATTGCTTCGTATGCCACTAATCTATCGCTGCTACATCTCTTTCTACATAACGTAAGTCTGGTCATCAAATCTATAAAATATCTTGGTATATGGTAGCTTTTCACTTTTGAATTGATTGAGTGAATCAATCAATTTTCCACATCCAATCATATTTGTATCAATAGTCTAAACAGTCTAATTTATAATTTTTGTCGTTCAACTTTTATTGTCGTCCAACTTTTATTGTCGTCGTTGTTCTTTCCCCCCTATTTTTTCTCTTTAGCATATTCCATTTTTCTTAGAAGATATAAATGAACCAGATAATTATTTCAATATACCAATAAATTATCGTAAAGAATTTGTCAATAAACTTTATCAACATAAAATTTATTATGCATTCGCTGGTCATTTACATAAAAACATTATAGCAAATTATACCCCATTAATAATTAATGAAAATAATGATCACACCAATAACAACAATACTGATAAATCATTTTCAATGATCAGTTCATCATCTGTTTGTGTCCAATTAGGTAATGATCAACCAGGAATTCGTCTTGTGCAAATCGATACTACTACTACTAATAATAATAATAATGAAAATGATGACTTTCTAAAGCATGTCTATTGGACGTTGGATGAATTAGAGGAAATTTTAAACTCTGGTAAACAACCGGAAATCTAACGGTTCTTAGACATTAGGTTATTTTACAACCTTGTTTTCTTACAATGTGTAACGTCATAATATTTGTCTTTTTTTTTTGGATGGGGGCATCATGTGAGAGGACTTACGTTTGTTTTTGAGAAAAAGGAGGAAAAAAATAAGAGAATGTTTCTTGAAAATGATCTGTTTTTTCTTGTTTTCTCCCTATTTCTTAGTCATATATGTCATGTTTGTGATTGAATTTTCTACGGTTTGTTTTAATTGCATCATTGCTCTAATCAATTGAATTGCTTGGGGTATTTTTTCGCTCTTAGTGTACTATTAATTTAATCATAGATCCAAAGTTCCGATAATTTGCGTTTAAAAGTTGATATGATTCAACTGATATATCATTTCTTCTAGACATATATATGTACGTTGTTCAAAAGTAATTTAAATAATAAAGTTATATCTTATGTTTTTAGATTCTTATCTTAAATTACACACATTTCTAATGCTTCATGACCAAATCAGTATTGATGATTATTTTGAAAAGAGCAAGAACAAACATTCTAGCAGAATAGCATGAATTCATTTTTATTTCGTTGGTTCTCGTCAGCTGCTTACAACCTGTGATATTTAAAATCATAATTAATGGGTTAAAATTACTTACATAAAAGAGTTTGATTGGAAGTTATATTAAAGACATATTCATATAGTATAACAAGGGTGTGAATAAATTTAATAGACTGAATATTAAAAACACAATTGTATGAACGAAGAATATTCTTTTCAATAATTTCTCATCAGGTTCTACAATTATAAATCCAGATTAATAATCCATAAAATTGGCCAGATTTAAGGCAAAATACATCATCATTTGGAAATTGTAATATGTGAATCAGGAATTGTTTGTTATATAAAAATAAAATCGTTAATGTTGGGGCTGACTAATATTAAGTGTTAACTTGAAACGGTTTATAAGCGAAATGAAATTGTGAGATAAATTATCAGAATAAATATAGTCAACATGCATTTATTACACCATTGAGTTTTATTCCAACTATCTTATTTTATTTTATCAACTGAACTCTACTCATTTTATTCCTATCAAGGTTTATTTGTTTCTAACCGTTTGAACTGTTGTCACAATGTTCTTTCATCACATAAGGTATATATTTACAATATTCAGTCTATTAAATTTATTTACACCCTTGTTATACTATATGAATATGTCTTTAATATAACTTCCAATCAAACTCTTTTATGTAAGTAATTTTAACCCATTAATTATGATTTTAAATATCACAGGTTGTAAGCAGCTGACGAGAACCAACGAAATAAAAATGAATTCATGCTATTCTGCTAGAATGTTTGTTCTTGCTCTTTTCAAAGTTGATGATTATATTGAAGCAAAAATAATAAAAAACACAGGGTTCAAATCTGTCATCTGTCTGTTTCTAGGGTATTAATGAATTTATAACACTAAGAATTACACCCAATGTAATTTATTATCGATATACAAGTTAGTGTATTTGATTTCAATCCATCCTTTTCGTCAATGAATATTTATCAATCCCTAGTCAAAGTAGATGGGGTAGGATTTGGATATAAAACCTATGAATTAAAAGTTGAATATCCTAACATTCAAGTCATCATTCTACAGCATTATACTTTGTTAGTTCCAGTGTTAATTCACAACAATAATGTTAAGTTTATTAATAACTAGTGGAGATGAAGTTGATTTATCAGTAGTTACACCTTGTAGCCTAGTTGATAGAAAGAAGTTAATTAGTTAATCCCTAAGGCTAGACTAATCCTAAAAAAAGTCAATCAATCTGCTTGATAAATTTGTGTTAATATGAAAAAGTGTATGGAACTCCGAGTCACTTGTTAATTGCCCATTAATAGATTGATCAAATAGAAACATCCTCATTCAGACATTTATTAAAAAGGACTAATGGTTTTACATTATAACTGTACACTAATTATATATATGATAACCGAGTATTAGCATTATACTAATAAAAGTAATAATTTCCAAGAAAAACATTGAAAACATGTTGATCAGTTGTTGCTAGATTAGATATATGGGAAAAGAGTTAACAAGATATTTCGATCGAAAGTAAATTTTATGGTATTTGCGTTAGAACAAACTGTGGGATTTATGAACTATATAGAAACTCAAACTGAAAGAAAATTAGATGGTTTTGAATGAGCGTGATGAATCAGTGTTCTGTTGTAATCCACGTTTTTATGCTATATGTCGTCTGCCTAGGTAAGCATTCTACAAACATCCTTTAAGTACAAAGGTTAGGTTTCTAAATGTGAATTCTTATAGTTGTACAGTGTGTAAAAGACGGGCCGTTAGATCATGCCGTAAAATTTAATGCAGTATGTTGGTTAACTTTGAAAGCTTTATTTCAGTTAACTTGGTGTCCCATATCAAGTAAGTGACTGGGAATAGAGCTCTTAATTGCCCTTAACTATTCTTTGCTTAACCAAGGCAGATGATGTTTAGTGTTACGATAAATCTCCATTTCGAATTCAACAATGAATAAGACGAACAATCTGATTGTGTAGCCATGAAATCGCCACTGGGTCTTTTTCTGACAGATTTATCTTACAAAACTAAAGAATAATCAGTCAACAGTTAACTGTCGTATTCAGAGTAATATCTTCATAGTATTGAAAGATAAAGATGAAAAAGTTACTTTATTTAACCTTGTAATTAACATTCATTCATCAATTACATTTAATTTTGATGAAAAACATAAAGTAACATCATACCACTGGGTTCTGTCTGGCTTAATTGAGTAAAAGATTGTTAGGGGTGATTAAAAGTTTTTTTCTCTATCATTTAACTGGCGAAAGATGTCAAGCTGACTTGAATAAAACTTCCAAAGTTATTCATCGTATTCCATGAAATAACTTGATCTCTTTGTGCTGATATATAATGTAACAATTTGGATTAATTCACATATGTATCAGTAACTACATTGGTTACAACTGATATCTGATAAGTAAATTAGTCAAAATCTACTTTTTATAATAAACAGTTAAGATAGATCTTTTACTATATTTGTTAGTCACGAAACTCACCTCACTAATCATATATTGATCATCTCGTAAATTCGATCTACAAAAGCTTATTTATTATTTTATTTATTTTAACACAGATATTGGTACAAGGAGGCACCAAATACATATGCGCCACACAAATCCCATTCGATATGTGTGAGGGCTGTGATACTACCCGGGTGCCCGAACCGAAGCAGGTGGTTTTCTTTGGGAGCCACCCTCCAAGCCTTCGATCTGAAGGTCTGATCCACAAGGCAGTAGAGCATCGTAAGGCGATGCAGTCCCATGGAAGCCGGTGACCATTAATTGGTTCATACGCTATTCGTTCATTCAGGATACTGGATCCCATGTGCACCATTTGTTTGGAATCCGGTTAAAGCGACGGACATTCGCTTTTCGTCCTCTCATTTTCGTAAACAACACCCCCGCCACGAGAAGGCAGTGGGTAGGACTTCCCTGTCAGAGACTGTATACGCGTGGCCATGAGAGAGGATTTAGAGAGTGAGAGCTGACTCTCCTCACTCTCAGCCATACCAGGGCATTTGTGGGCAAAAGCTTACAGTTTTTTTGTATGATACTGGATACTTTATGGTTGGGTATAACTATACATCTTACAGAATGAAAATGAGTTAATGGACACTCATTACAATTTTCTTCTGATTTATTTAAAAATAAGATTTATGTATTTTAAATTATTCTATTACCATAATTATTTACTGAGTTTTTCATCTGTTTTAGCAAACTAATTCATTAAAAATATTCGCCTGATCAACATTCTCATGATTAAATGGAATAAATTGATGTTCACTTATAAAATTTCCAATTTAATGAAAACTTTCGTTACAAATAATTCATCAATAATAATACCTGTTGGATTTGTTCGGTATTATTCAATTTCTTTTAGTATTAGAACGAATAGTACTACTATTCAAACTTATAATAGTAGTCGCTTAATTTATAGAAATTTATCATTTACTACTAATTTATATCAACCATTATCACAATCATCATCGACATCAGTAAAACCGAAAGATCATCAAACCAATTTAAGTTTGGGAATTTTTCATCCAAAGAAAAAACGTGTGGATAAAGTGAGTGTAATATATATGTACATATATATATGCTTGTTTTAATGGTATTATTATGAACTGACTAAAAAGAAGATTATTTATTTCGGTTATTTGAATGATTCACAGGATGTTTATTGTAACTCCATTAAAATTGACGACTAAAATTTTGGCTTTGATCAGTAGTCTAAATGAAGACCAGGTTTTCTTTATCATGCCCTTGAAATCAACTAATTAAAATACATGATGTGCTTGTCTATGTTCTACACATAAGTAGGAAAATTTTCTTTAAAAGATAAACATTAATAATTCCCGACCGTTGTTGCCACATTGACGTGGTGGTCGGGCTTGCCTGTCCTGATGAAGCAACCGAGTTACACTGGCTGGAACAACCGTTCCTCAGGGGCCTACCATGTCAGACAGGTCGGCTGAAGAGCGGTAAGACTAAAAGCAACAAACCTAAGGTCCGAAGGCAAAGTCGTACTGCTGACTGTACAGATATATAACGGCAGTAAAGTGTTTTCTTCAGACAACCAGCATAACAGCGATGCTGCCTTCCCACAAGGAGGGGTGAAGTTAAAAAAGGTCGACCCTAAAAATAAACACCTCTCTTTATCCCACGGATATCCGTCTCCGGCGGTGAGGTCTCAACAAGTACGGAGCTAACACAAAAATTACCCATAAAAAGGTCGTGTGTGACCGACTTCAAGCAGTTGTCTCTTGGGCACTGCGGTCACGCTCTCAGGTCACTAGGACCACCTGTAGTCCGATTTCCTTTCCAGGCACCTCCGGAAAAACCCTTCCACGGTGTGGGAAATCTGGAAGTGATAACCGTTCTCATACCACTAACAGCACT